AGATCAAAACCAACAACCCAATTAAGAGATGGGCCAAGGACCTCAATAGACATTTTTCAAAAGAGGAAATCCAAATGGCCAACAGGCACATGAAAAAATGTTCAAGATCACTAGCAATCAGGGAAATGCAAATCAAAACCACAATGAGGTTTCACCTCACCCCGGTTAGAATGGCTCACATGCAGAAATCTAACAACAACAGATGCTGGCGAGGATGTGGGGAAAAAGGGACACTAACCCACTGTTGGTGGGAATGCAAACTGGTCAAGCCACTATGGAAGTCAGTCTGGAGATTCCTCGGAAACCTGAAGATAACCCTACCATACAACCCAGCCGTCCCACTCCTTGGAATTTACACAAAGGAATTTAAATTGGCAAACAAAAAAGTGGTCTGCACCCTAATGTTTATTGCATCACAATTCACAATAGCCAAGACCTGGAACCAACCTGAATGCCCATCAACGGTAGACTGGATAAAGAAATTATGGGATATGTACTCTTTAGAATACTATACCGCAGTAAGAAACAATGAAATCCAGTCATTTGCAACAACATGGAGGAATCTGGAACACATCATGCTGAGTGAAATAAGCCAGTCCCAAAAAAACCATATGTTCTCCCTGATCGGTGACAACTGACTGAACACCAAAAAGGAAACCTGTTGAAGTGAAATCGACACTGTGAGAAACGGTGACTGGATCAGCATAACCCTGACTGTTAATGAACAACTTAATACATTATCCCTCTTAGTAGTTTTTTTTGTCTGTTCTACTTAATATGACTGGTTTAATTCTGTAATTAATACACAGTTATTCTTAAGTGTTGAAAATTAACTGAAATGTGATCCCTGTTAAACATAAAAGTGGGAATAAGAGAGGGAAGAGATGTACAATTTGCGACATGCTCAAGCTGACTTGCCCCAAATGGTAGAGTTAGAAACATACCAGGGGATTCCAATTTAATCCCATCAAGGTGGCATGTACCAATGCCATCTCACTATTCCAAGTGATCAATTTCAGTTCACAATTGATCATAATGAAAGGACTAAGAGTCAAAGGCAGCACATAAACAAGTCTAGTACCTGGTAACACTAACCGATAGAATAAATAAAGGGGAGAGTGATCCGACATGGGAAGTGAGATACGCAGCAGACTCATAGAATGGCAGATGTCTTAAACAGCACTCTGGCCTCAGAATCAGCCCTAAAGGCATTCGGATCTGGCTGAAAAGCCCATGAGAGTATTTCAGGAATGGAAAGCCAAGACACTGGCAAAAAAAAAAAAAAAGACCCTAATGAAAGATCTCTGTGAGTGAGATCCCAGTGGAAAGAACAGGTCTTCAAAGAAGGAGGTACCTTTCTCTGAAGGGAGGAGAGAACCTCCATTTTGACTATGACCTTGTCTAAACAAGATAAGAGTCGGAGAACTCAAGGGGCTTCCATAGCCTTGGAAACTCAAGACTGGTGCATAGGGAGATTACTGATGCCATAAACAGGAGTGTCAATTGGTAAAGTCAACAACAGGAGTCACTGTGCACTTACTCCTCATGTAGGATCTCTGTCCTTAACGTGCTGTACACTGAGGCTTAATGCTATAACGAGTACTCAAACAGTATATTTCACTTTGTGTTTCTATGGGGGTGCAAACGACTGAAATCTTTACTTAATGTACACTAAACTGATCTTCTGTAAAAAAAAAAAAAAAAAGAAAGAAATTTTCAATTCCCAACTTGACTCTCACTGGGATTAAACATGACAATAGGTCTGATCTGATTTCATCATCATTTTAAAAAAATCATCTATTATTTTTCACTTTATGTTTCTGTGTGGGAGCAAACTGTTGAAATACTTACTTAAGGTATACTAAGCTGATCTTCTGTATATTAAGATAATCGAAAATGAATCTTGATGTGAATGGAAGGGGAGAGGGAGTGGGAAAGGGGAGGGTTGTTGGTGGGAGGGACGGTATGGGGGGGGGAAGCCATTGTAACCCATGAGTCGTACTTTGGAAATTTATATTCATTAAATAAAAGATAAAAAAAAAAAAAAAAAAAAAAAAAAAAAAAGAAATCCCAGCAGAAAGAACAGGCCATCAAAGGAGGTACCTTTCTCTGAATGGAGGAGAAAAGTTCCACTTTGACTATGGCCTTGTCTAATAAGATCAGAGTTGGCAAACTCAAAAGGCTTCCATAGGCTGGCGCCGTGGCTCACTAGGCTAATCCTCCACCTTGCGGCACCAGCACACCGGGTTCTAGTCCCGGTTGGGGCGCCGGATTCTGTCCTGGTTGCCCCTCTTCCAGGCCAGCCCTCTGCTGTGGCCAGTGAGTGCAGTGAAGGATGGTCCAAGTGCTTGGGCCCTGCACCCACATGGGAGACCAGGAGAAGTACCTGGCTCCTGGCTTCGGATCAGCGCAGTACACTGGCCACAGCATGCCCTCCGCGGTGGCCATTGGAGGGTGAACCAATGGCAAAGGAAGACCTTTCTCTCTGTCTCTCTCTCACTGTCCACTTTGCCTGTCAAAAAAAAAAAAGGCTTCCATAGCCTTGGAAGCTCATAACAAAGAGCCTAGGGTGATTACTGATGCCATAAACAAGAGTGTCAATTTGTTAAGTCAACAACAGGAGTCACTGTGCACTTACTCCTCATGTAGGATCTTTGTCCTTAGTGTACTGTACATTGAGATTTAATGCTATAACTAGTACTCAAACACTACTTTATACTTTGTGTCTGTGTGGGTGCAAACGGTTGAAATCTTTACTTAGTATATACTAAGTTGATTTTCTGTATATAAAGATAATTCAATATGAATCTTGATGTGAATGGGATGGGAGAGGGAGTGGGAGATGGGATAGTTGTGGGTGGGAGGGAGGTTATATGGGGGAAAAACCGCTATAATCCAAAAATTGTACTTTGGAAATTTATATTTATTAAATAAAAGTTTAAAAAAAGTTGTTACTAAAAAAAAAATAAAAGATTTGTTAAGGGACTTAAAGGGAGACTTAGACCCCAATACAATAGTACTGGGGGACTTCAATACTCCACTCTCAGAAATAGATAGATAAACAGGACAGAAGATCAACAAGGAGACAGTAGATTTAAACGACACTATAGCCCAAATGGATCTAACAGATATCTACAGAACATTTTATCCTACACATAAAGCATTTACATTCTTCTCAGCAGTACATGGAACCTTCTCTAGGATTGACCACCTACTAGGCCATAAAGCAAGTCTCAGCAAACTCAAAAGAATTAGAATCATACGATGCAGCTTCTCAGACCATAAAGGAATGAAGTTGGAAATTAGCAATTCAGGAATCCCTAGAGCATATGCAAACACATGGAGATTCAACAACATGCTCCTGAATGAACAATGGGTTATAGAAGAAATTAAAAGAGAAATCAAGAATTTTCTGGAAGTAAATGAGGATAACAGCACAACATACCAAAACTTATGGGACCTGGAACCAACCCAAATGCCCATCAACAGTAGACTGGATAAAGAAATTATGGGACATGTACTCTATAGAATACTATAAGCAGTCAAAAACAATGAAATCCGGTCATTTACAACAACATGGATGAATCTGGAAAACATCATTCTGAGTGAATTAAGCCAGTCCCAAAGGGACAAATATCATATGTTCTCTCTGATTGGCTACAACTAACTGAGCAGCAAATGGGAAACCTGTTGAAGTGAAATGGACACTATGAGAAACAGTGACTTGATCAGCTCTTGTGCTTACTGTTGATGTACAATGTAATACTTTATCCATGTTAGTATTTTTTTGTTCTAGTATTATTTGTTGAACTCTGTAATTAACACACAATTATTCTTAGGTGTTAAATTTTAACTGAAAAGTGATCCCTGTTAAATATAAGAGTGGGAATAAGAGACAGAGGAGATGTACAATTTGAGACATGCTTAATCAGACTTGCCCCAAATGGTGGAGTTAGAATTGTGCCAGGGGATTCCAATACAATCCCATCAAGGTGGCATGTTCCAATGCCATCTCACTAGTCCAAGTGATCAATTTCAGTTCACAATTGATCACACTGATAGGTCTAAGAGTCAAAGGGATCACACAAACAAGATTAGTGTCTGGTAATACTAACTGTAGAATCAAAAAGGGAGAGAACGATCCATCATGGGAAGCGGGATACACAGCAGACTCATAGAATGGCAGATGTCCTAAATAGCGCTCTGGCCTCAGAATCAGCCCTTAAGACATTCATATCTGGCTGAAGAGCCCATGAGAGTATTTTAGGCATGGAAAGCCAAGTCACTCTGAAAGAAGAAGAAGAAGAAGAAGAAGAAGAAGAAGAAGAAGAAGAAGAGGAGGAGGAGGAGGAGGAGGAGGAGGAGGAGGAGGAGGAGGAGGAGGAGGAGGAGGAAGAAGACCTAAAGGAAAGATCTCTGCGAGTGAGATCCCAGTGGAAAGAACTGGGCCATCAAAGAAGGAGGTACCTTTCTCTGAAGGGAGGAGAGAACTTCCACTTTGACTATGACCCTGTCGGAATAAGATCGAAGTCAGCGAACTCAAAAGGCTTCCATAGCCTTGGCAACTCATGACTAGAGCCTAGGGAGATTTCTGACACCATAAACAAGAGTGTCAAATTGTTAAGTCAACAACAGGAGTCACTGTGTACTTACTTCTCATGTGGTATCTGTCCTTAATGTGTTGTCCAATGTGAAGTAATGCTATAACTAGTACTGAAACAGTATTTCACACTTTGTGTTTCTGTGTGGGTGAAAACTGATGAAATCTTTACTTAATATATACTAAATTGATCTTCTGTATATAAAAATAATTGAAAATGAATCTTGATGTGAATGGAAGGGGAGAGGGAGCAGGAGATGGGAGGGGTGTGGGTGGGAGGGAAATTATTGGGGGGGAAGCCATTGTAATCCATAAACTGTACTTTGGAAAATTATATTTACTAAATAAAATTTTAAAAAAAGAAAAAAGAGATGTCTCTTGTTAGCTCCCAGAAGGTGCTGTATAAAGGTAAAGAAAATATGAGACATGAAGGATATACCCACATGGATTGCTTATCTCCTCATTAGAGATTAAAGTTTTTCATGGTCATAAGATTCAAAGTTGCTAATGAAACAACAAAAGAGGTCAAAATGATGATTGAAAAGCTTACGAACTCTGTGACATGAAAACATCAGGAAAGATCATATTTGAGTGTTATTCCTCTGGAAAGGGGTGAAAAAAAGCAAATATACAATGATCATAAGAATGTATTCCAGACATTGACAAAATGATGTCAAGGCACAAGAAAGTCAGAATACAAAATTAAGTGAAGTATAACTGGCCACCTAATTTGAAAGAAGGGCCTGTGTTATGGTACCATGGTTTAAACTGCTGCCTGTGATGGTGGCATCCATATGATCTCCAGTTCAATAGTCTGTCTTTTGTACAAAAGTGCATCCAATTCTAAGGGCAGAGGTTAATATTTGTCATGATGACTCTCAGCTGCACCATGGGGTTATGTCCTTAGTGGGATGAATCTCAAGTGGGGAGGGACATGCACACATCATAATAGGTATTCTGTGATGCAATAACCTGGGGGATGGTGTAGGAGATAAATGTGGGCGTGGGCCTGGGCATATGTCCAGTTACTCATTTTGATTCACTTTGGTCAGATGTGTAACTAGAAGCATTTTTGTCCAAAATGACGAAAAAATTACCTCCACTTTTTCCACGTCAACCTCAGCCTCACCCTCCGACTCCTTCAGATTCCCGCTTTCCAACCTGCCTGCCTCACCTGGCTCCTCCCTCTGACAAACCTAAGCCTGTCCTCCAGCACAAGAAATCTTCAGCTGCCTGCCCTGCCCGTCTCCCTGCTCTGACCAACAGCTCTTCCCACAAGGACATTCCTTCCTCCAAGACTTCCAAGCGCACCCTGGCCTCTGTTCCCTCCAAGTCACCCACTCACCGCCCTGTTCGTCTGGCTCCCCTTTCCTGCTTCTCCTCTGTCTGGGCCCCGACTCCTCCTCCCAGCCCCTCTTACTAGTCCTCTGGACTCTGTTCTCCACGGACACCTACCCCAGCCCAGACCTGGGGATTCACAGATCTTACTTTGAGATCTTACCTTCTCTAAGAGCCTTGGCAGTTCTGGCACAGTTCAGAAGAGAGGACAGTGGCTTCCCAGCAGCCTAGCCTGGTGAGTAAAGAGAATGTGAGAGGATGGCCAGCTGATGAACAGCCTATAGTGTCAGCTCAGATAATTACGGGATCCTTTTCCTGATGACAAGATCCTGGTTATTATACCACTATATCTATTTTAGCTTCATCCTCAACTGTTAATCCTTTTCAGAACCAGAGGTATCAATGATGATGTGCTTTTTCCAAACAGACTCTGCACTTTCTCTCTTGCCTGATGAATCAGCCTTCAGGAACCCCCAGGCCTACAAGTGGCTACTCAGGGAAAGCAAATCACAGAGCTGAGAGCAGGACTAATGACAGAGAAGGTAAAGAACCTGGAACAGAATTCCTATAATCTGCTCTGGTGCAGAGAAAGTCCTGTTGGGATGTCTTGGTTTCAAAGGATTTTGAGTAAGGGTGACCCCTGACAAGCGTTGGGACACCAGGCCACTGTTACAAGTGGAGAGTCAAAGCTGTTTTCTTTCCTTTTTCTTTCTTTTTTTGACTCCACGAAAGGAGGGGCCACCCACTGTGTTCTGATCTAACCTCCCAAGGATAAGCCTCCCTATCTGCATCTTATGTCCCACAATGTGAAAGGTAGCAGAGTCTAAATGGCATGAACATATCCAGTTCCTACCCAGATGACAGCATCAGAAGAACAGATAGTATTTTTATCCCCTCTCCTCAAAACTGATTGACTCAGGGCCAGCGCTGAGGCTCACTTGGTCAATCCTCCGCCTGTGGCGCCAGCATCCCATGTGGGTGCCGGATTCTAGTCCCGTTTGCTCCTCTTCCAGTCCAGCTCTCTGCTGTAGCCCAAGAGGGCAGTGGAGGATGGCCCAGGTGCTTGGGCCTCTGTACCCACATGGGAGACCAGGAGGAAACTCCTGGCTTCTGGCTTAAGATCAGCTTAGCTCCGGTCATGGCGGCCATTTGGGGGGTGAACCAATGGAAGGAAGACCTTTATTTCTGTCTCTATCTCTCACTAACTCTGTCAAATAAAAAAAAAACTTATGGACTCAATATAAACCCAATCAGAATACAAACATCTTTTTTTCTAAGATGAAAAGCTTATTATCAAGACTTTCTTAAGTAGGTATTAGTTCCCTAGATATCAATATTTTTTTGAGACAGGCAGAGTGGACAGTGAGAGAGAGAGACAGAGAGAAAGGTCTTCCTTTAACGTTGGTTCACCCCCCAATGGCCGCTGCGGCCGGTGCGCTGCAGCCGGCACACTGCGCTGATCCGAAACCAGGAGCCAGGTGCTTCTCCTGTTCTCCCATGCGGTGCAGGGCCCACGCACTTGGGCCATCTTCCACTGCACTCCCAGGCCACAGCAGAGAGCTGGACTGGAAGAGGGGCAACCGGGACAGAATCCAGTGCCCCAACTGGGACTAGAACCCTGCTCGCCGGTGCCACAGGCAGAGGATTAGCCTATTGAGCCACGGCACTGGCCCATATCAATATTTATTATAATAATTATGGTTAGCTGAAATAGCGTAATGTTGGCACAAGCGTGGACAGATTGCACAGATAGACACACTTCAAGACACAAAAGCACAGCAGAATGATGGGGACAGGACTTTCTATTCAACAAGGTCATGCTAGGTCAGATGAATAGTTATTTAGAAATAATCAAGAACATATTTTATATGAAAAACACATCCACATTTGAAAACTTAAAAGCAGGCAATCTTTAATTGCTCTGCGTGTGCCTGGTTACATATGAAAAAGCAATGGAAATGTAGAAATGAAGATTAGTATATTCTGGGTTAAAAAATGGAAATTAATCTTATCTATTTCTCCTTTTAATGTGAATACTGGAAAATTGACATGGAAATTTCTAGAACACTTTTATAGGGCAGATCTACCAGTGCACAATAATCAGCTTACGTTTATGTGAAAAAGTCTGTATTTTCCTTCAGTTTTGACGGAGATTTTCATTGATTATAGAATTTATCTGGACAGATTTTTTTCTTTTGATATTTATTGAAATTTTATTGGTTCTGGTCTTTGTGTATCTCTGACAAAACCCCTGTAAATACTCTACTTGTATTCTATGTACACTATCTTTTATTACCTATGTCTATTCATATGAGTGGTTTGATGCATAATTTGATTATGATATGCCTTGATGTAGGGTTCTTTTTGTTCAACCTTCTTTGGATACATCAAAATTTTTTGCTCTAAAGGTTTATTATTTTCTGGAAATTGGAAATCATTCTTTCATTAATTCTTTGAATATAGTCATATTGCTCCATTTCTCTCTTTCTGAGATCGAGTGCATGTGTGTTAAAGAATCGCTTTTTCCACTGGGAAATTGCTTTTTCCACTATTTTGCTTTTATTGTATTTTGCTATGTCAGCCTGGATAATCCCTATTGAAGTATGTTAAGATTCATCAATGCTTGTGTCTTCATTGCTGACAACATTCATTTTTTTCTTACCATGAATTTTTAGCATCCAAAATTCTATATGCTTTTATTCTTTTTACATTTTCTATTTCTGTCATTATGTTTATGTTTTACCTTAATCTTTAACAAGACAAAAATAGAACAGTAACAAAAGAACAATAACCATTTTCAATTCCTTGATATTAATTTCATATCAGTCATTTTGTTCTTTTTTAAAGATTTATTTATTTATTTACACAGAGAGGAGAGAGAGAGAGAGAGGTTCATTCCCCAATTGGCAGCAATTGGTTTCGTATCTGTGGATGTTTTTTCCCTAGGTCTGAGATCCTAATTTCCTCTTTCATTACTATACTCTATTTCTACATTTAAGTGATGCTATTCATGGAGAATGAAAATTTGTTGAATGCTGAATTTTGTTGACCTGCTTTAAAATTGGTACAAATTTTCCTGGCAGACATGTTGGCTACTTGTGTGTCAGGCTGTATTTTAGTAGCTTGATTCTTGTCTGCGGTAAGGGAAGTCCAGGTTAGCCTGTCTTCTTAAGGCTACATTACCTCTATGGCAGCATTATGAAGGAGCAGAGGACAGAGTAATAGACAGTAAGCACAGAAAGCACAGGGTGTCTTGAGGGAGCCTCCCAGCTAGAGTAGCAGTACACTCCAGGACTTGAGGCAATGAGGGATGACACAAGTGATTAGGATTTTCAGAACAGAGCAGTCATGCTATTTGCCTTGTATTAAGGACATGCCAGGCCATATTTAGAGCCTACATTCACAAGCCTTTATTGGATTCTCTGGCATGCTATTAAGATAGACATTTTCCTCCTGCTTATAGGTGAGGTGAGTTAAGTAAGGCCTAAAGAAGTCAAGTGGCTACTAGTGAAAGTACAAGGAACATCTGGCAATGAAGATTAGGTTCATTCCTTTGTCAAACTGCTTCTTTAAAGTTCAGACTTCACAGGGAAGTAGAGTTGTGAGATGATAAATGTGGTTACTTAAAGTGTTCCTGGAAAAAGGTAGTTTTCAGATGTTTTGGAATAAATAATTAAATTCATGATTCTGAGAAGTTTTTCAAGAATTAATGGAAAATATAGATATTAAAAAATAATAAAGTTTTGTGTCAATTAAACTAATGTTTCAATTACTTTTTCCATAAATTTTTGAGGTCACCTCATATGTCAAATGCCTCTATTGGACCCCTAGCAATTATGAGAATGTGGATCTATAACCAGAGAAAATGAGAGATTTTCATTACATCTGAGACTCAGTCTCATTCTAATTTTGCCCCATGTGGAGTAAGAGCTGCTCTTCAGCTGGCCCTGGTGGAGGGAGAGATCAGCTGGCAGCCCACAGTCTTGCTAGCTCTTCACCAGCTAACAACATATCTTCTCAGTAGAGTGAGAGTGTATTTTCTTCTTAGTGTTAAGAAGCTGTGAAGATTGCAGCAGATGGTTTGCATACTACTAGGACTAAGGGACCCTGGGAGGGATCCCCATGACAAGTATTAAAGATGGTTCTGTAACTTAACCAGCAAGGGATGGATGCTGTTCATGGTTCTGGAGTTCTGGATGATGTAAGGGCTTATATACAAGGGTAAATAGGAGAAACCATTATACTAACAGGTCATATATATCACCAGCCAACAGACACCAAACACACATCTGTCCACACAGTCCCAGGAATACTCATAGTGCAGAGACAAACAGATAAACTGTTTATTTTCAAGTACTTTAATAGAAATGAATGCACTTTTGACAGGAGGATTTTGATCTGCTTTAAATTTGTGTCTGACTCATTCAACTTTTTTTCAGAAGTTTATTATTCAAGGTGAAATCCACTCATCAGTTCTTTACCTTCTAGGTTTGCCACATGAGGTGGAGTCTTTCCTGTCTATGAGTCAAGCAACTCCAGTACCAGGGTAGGTCCTGAGAAGCTGGGCACACGGCCAAGAGCCTGAAGACAGAGAGCCAGGAAGGCAATGGTGTGCCATGGGGATGCGATTGTGGGGTGACAGCATGGAGTGCTGGTACCAGGAGGGTGCACTGACATGCCACTACCCAGAAATGGCAGAAGGATGCCAGTGCCAAAGTGCAGAAGGCCTGGGTCCCAATCACCTCATTAGGATTTTCAGAGAAATATCTCAACGTTGGAGAAACTCTACAGCTACATTGGCTGAGTTTCTCCACAAGATTAAGTGGTGCTCCAGAAGGCATTAGGGAACAAGGAATACTCATAACTGCAGTTTTCCCAAAGAGAAAATGCCTCTTGTTGCCCAGCCAAAGTGGATACTTCAGGAACCCCTGAGGCCACATCAAAGCACATATATTTATTACATGCATGGAAATGTAGCCATGACGCCTAAAGTGGGCATTATAAAAGTTGAATTTTTTACAATTCTGTTTTCCAAATGTTTATATTTTGCAGAATTGTGTTTACTGGATTGTTTTTTCCTCATACCTTTACCTTTGCCTGAGTGATGGGGAGAGTTTGGTTGGTGGATTCTAGTCCCATAGTACTTCTAATCCGCTACATTTGTGCACTCAACATTCATGAAACATCAGCATCCGCTAAATGTGAGCCTCATATGGAACGCCAAATCCACAGCCACCACTCTGGGTCACATTGGAGTCCACTCACCTGCTACAACCAGGCTCCTTCTGCACCACCTTTCACACCCGTTGCTGCAACAGAAAATCTGTACTAACAGAACTAGTCATTCACTCTGCTGGGAGAAGCCCTTCACTAATTGCCAGTGCTTCCCTCCCTCATTTTACACACCCAAGAAGTCAATACTTTCAAGTTTCCTCACTGCAAAAGACTCCATCACAAGTGTGGAGGCATCTCCACCCCTAGTCACTTAATTCTTTCTTCTCAGTGCCTAGATCTGCTTCTCAATCAGATCTTACCAGTGCCTGCATAGATTCAATGGGCTCTCATACCCTTACAACTTCCTTGTCCCCACCCCTCATGTGCAGCACTGCTAGATATAGAGCTATGTTAAAAGGCCACACTGATCATGTCAGTGTGTCAAACACTTGAGTGGCCCCAAAGCTTCTTGTAAACTAACACTGTGCAGTTCAAGGCCCCTTCAGGCTCCTAAATGGATCCACACATATGTTGTCTTCCCTCTCTAGCCCACAGGCCTTTAACAAAGATTCTTGTGACTACTGTGTGTCAGCCAATGCAAAGGCCTCAGAGACTTGCCCCTTCCACCCTGCAATTTCTAGTTAATTGGATTTCCATAGTTCATCATGATGTTTTCCACTGAATTTCTCCCATAAACACTGTCCCTTCTTCCTGAACTTTTCTCCCAACTTCTGTGCCTCATCAGCTGTGGTCTACAGCAGCCTGGATATTCAGAGCAATTACAATATCTTCATTTTGCTGAATAACTAAACTACTTTTTGTATGAATGCCCATCCACTAATTTCAGAAAAACAAATGAATGGTTATGGAATCCTGGTCCATTCCAACCATTCAAATAACCCCTTAATGCACCAAACTAGACAATGTCTCTCTAGATTGGGAGGTTGGGGGTCTTATTTAAATTTCTTTCATGGCACTCAGAACAAGATCTGGCATGGGCCAGATGGTAATGACTAAATGGGGCCTGGATTAAGCTGTGTCTTAGAGATGGAAGAGAGTGTTTGAATGTGTACTGCAACCCTATTTCACTGTGGATCACACAAACACCAGAGCTCATGTGTTGGCATAATAACATAGAGCAATCTGAAGATAGTATTCCTGTGGTTTGGGAATCCCCCTGAGATAGAGAACAGAGGAACAGACAGAGCTCTCTTGGGGTAGCATGGCCTCAAAGCAGGCATCAGAGTTCCCTACTTTAATGCTGGAAACTAGACCCATACCAATCAAGCTCACAAACAACAAGCATGCTCATTATACAGCCAATTTATTAACTCCCATGGCAACAGATAACATTCCTATATACATAAAATAACATACATTCATTCATTGAACAATTTAGATGTTGATATTAAGAGCATAGGTTCTAGAGCCAAACTACCTGGGTTCACATCCTAATTCTGTGGCTCATTAACTTGTGACTTCGAGCAGACTATGGAACCTCTGAGACTAACAGACATTATGAGAATTGAAACAATGTGAGTATCTTGCACATGGTAGTCAATAAATTTTGGTTATTATAGTACTAAGTGGCAGTTACTGGAATGGGACTAAGTAGGAGAATCTTCTACCACTTGAAAGAAAAGTAGTAAACAGACAAGTACATAGGCAATAAAGAAGGTGTAAAAACAGCAAAGAAAACAGGTTTCAGTGAAGGGAGCAGAGGCTAGGAAATCTTTGGAGGAGGTGATCACAGTTTGAGGCACAGCACATCAGGTGAGTTATATGGAAAAGCACAGTAAGGAGCAGCAGCAGATTGGCTCCAGGACTGAAAGTAGGGTATAAGGGCTGCGGCACAGGGTGAGAGGGGCCATGCCTGGTGATATGTGAAGTGAGATGTCCTTCCTGGAATGTGGTACTTCTCCCTCTCTACTGCCTTAGAGTAGAATTAGATGGAGGGAGGATGTAGTTTCTATGTACAAGGGTGAGGTATGAATGTGGAGGGGAGCATCTCACAGACAGTGAATGGGCAGAGGAGTCAACAGAAAAACAGCATGATCAGAGGGAGCGGGGGCCAGTGCTGTGACTCAGAGCTCTAAGTTGCCACATGCAGTGCTGGCATCCCATTCTGGAGCAATGGTTTGAGTCCTGGCTGCTCCCTGCTAAGGTACCTAGGAACAAGGCAGATATCATAAATACTTGTAATCTTGCAAGCCACATAAAATATCTTGATGGAGATTGCAGCTTCTTCCTTTGGCTTAGAACAGCCCCAGTAGTTGGGGGTCATTTGGGGATTGAATCAGTGAATGGAAGATATTTCCTTATCCCTCCCCTTCACCCTTCCTCTCCCTGTCTTTCAAATAAAAATAAATGAATCTTTTTAAAACTGATATAATCTAGAGGTGACTCTCCCAGATAGGGTAAGGATGCAAGCTGGTATTGAGACCATAATGAATGTCACAGGTGAAGAAGTTCTGCAGAGCCAGGCAGTGCATTGCTATCTGTACTGTTTCAAGAATATTCCCAGTTGGGGCCAGCACTGTGGCAGAGCAGGTAAGGCCTCTGCCTGCCTTGCCAGCATCCCATATAGGCACTAGCTCAAGTCCTGGCTGTTTTTCTTTCAATCAACCTCCCTGCTAATATGCCTGGGAAAGCAGTGGAAGATGGCCCAAGTCCTTGGGATACTGTATCCAAGTGGAAGCCCCAGAAAAAGTAACCATCTCCTTGCTTTAGTCTAGCTAAGCCCTGGAAGTGCCAACCATTTGTGGAGTGATCCAGAGGATTGAAGATTCTCTCCCTCTCTCCTTCCCCCCATTCTATCTCTGCCTTAAGAATAAAAAAAAATATTTATTAAAAAAGAATATGCCCAATCTGGTGCTAAGCCCTTGGTTCACATTCCTTCATTATATTCTTAGTCATCCTGGTGAGGTAGATATTTTCCGCCTATGAAGAAGGGTGTATTGGGAGGCTCAAAGAATTTAAACAACTGAGAACCTGGTCATGGAAGAGCTAGGAATATCTGACTATAAACACCGGGTTCATTCTATTGTCAAACTGCCTCTTAGGTAGAGACATGGTCGAGCCAATAATATGTGGATTTACACACACACATGGCACTGAGAAGCATGTTTATTTTAGCAAGAAGGACTTGACCATATTTCTTAGAAACTTCTTCTCAGTAGTTACAGTGTTTCTCCTCTGCCTCGGCCTCTGCCTACAGCTGGTCCCACAGGCCACCCAAATCTGCATTCTAGCACACCCAGGCGCTAGTAGGGAATCGTGCCTTCACTCACCCAGTTGCCTGTTGTGTTAAACACAACAAGGGTTACTATCAGTCACTGTTAGGTTTACTTGTCTACCTGTACCTATTCTGTCACTATGACTCCATCTAGATTCTGACTTCAGGCAGCATGGACTATGTCTGTCTTACTGTATGCTTTACTCTCAATACCTAGGATGTACCCTGGCATAGCATTGGTGCTCAAAAAATATTTAAGGAAAGATGAGTGGGGGAATCAGACTCTCTGGTCTCAAGGCCTTGGCAATCCTTTGAGGCCAGGGTGCTCTGCTCTAAGATACTAGATAGCCAGGGGGGAATGCCACAGAGGCCCTCACTGGTCCCAAGTCCTGCCTCTTCACCACCACATACCTGGTCTCCCAGGCAGATTTCATAATGCCACTCATTATGCTTTCCAAGAGAGAAAAATATGCAGATATAAGTTGAAGGTAAAAAACCTGGAGGGTTAAGAGTCAAGAAAGACTCCTTTCAGGGCTGGCACTTGGCGTAGCAGGTAAAGCTGTGGCCTGCAGTGCCAGCATCCCATACGGGCACTGGTTTGAGTCTTGGATGCTCCTCTTCTGATCCAGCTCTCTGCCATGGCCTGGGAAAGCAGTAAAAGAAGGCCCAAGTACTCGGGCCCCTAAAACCATGTGGGAGACCCAGAAGAACCATCTAGCTCCTGGCTCCAGGCTTCGGATAGGCACAGCTCCGGCCATTGTGGCCAACTGGGGGTGAACTACTGAATGGAAGACCTTTCTCTCTCTCTCCCTCTGTTTCTTTCTCTCTCTCTCTTTATCCCTACCTCTCCTTCTCTCTCTCTCCCTCTCTCTGTAGCAACAGAGTAAACAACAGAAAGCACAGTGACAACATATGCAGTGGCTGTGAGAAAATAGCAGGAATGTGACTTGTCTGGGTTTGAATTCTGGCTACTGACTACTAGCTATGTGATCTCAAGTAAGCCACTAAGCCCTTTCATGACTCAGTTTCCCTATTGCAAAATAGAAATATCATAATCTAACCAATCTGATAAGTTGGTGTCAGGATTGAATGAGGTAATATTTGTAACGTGCTAATTACATAGTAAATGGGAAGTGTTGATTTTAAAAAGTGACTGAACACAGGCTTTCCAAGTGAGCTGTCCCAGTGATTACAAGGAGGGCAGCATGGATGCATCACTTAATATACTTCAGGAAGGTTTGTTGTGAGGCACAAGTGGAACACTGACTGTATAGACCATAAGTAGGACAGTGTCTAGCACATACTAAGTGCTCAGTAAATACAGACTACATAGGAATGTCATTGTGATTCCATGCTGCTGGATGTGATGCCCTTATCCCATACCAGAGGGCCTCAGTTTTAGCCCCATCTCCACTTGTAATTTTAGGATCCTGCTGGTGCATACTGTGGGAGGCAGCACGTGATGGCTTGGGCACATGGGTTGCTGTCACCCACGCAGGAGACTCAGATTTTGTTCCTTGCTCCCTTGCTCTGGCTGTTTTGGGAATTTGAGGGGTAAACCAGTGGGTGAGAAAAGGAGATGTACAATTTGGGACATGCTTAATCAGACTTGCCCCAAATGGTGGAATTAAAATTGTGCCAGGGGATTCCATACAATCCCATCAAGGTGGCAGGTACCAATGCCATCCCACTAGTCCAAGTGATCAATTTCAGTTCACAATTGATCACACTGATAGGTCTAAGAGTCAAAGGGATCACACAAACAAGACTAGTGTCTGCTAATACTAACTGATATAATTAAAAAGGAGAGAACGATCCAACATGGGAAGCAGGATACACAGCAGACTCATAGAATGGCAGATGTCCTAAACAGCACTCTGGCCTCAGAATCAGCCCTTAAGGCATTCATATCTGGCTGAAGAGCCCATGAGAGTGTTGTTATCATGGGAAAGTGAAGACACTCTGGCAAAACACACACACACACACACACACACAAACCTAAATGAAAGATCTCTGTGAGTGAGATCCCAGTGGAAAGAACAGGGCCATCAAAGAAGGAGGTACCTTTCTCTGAAGGGAGGAGGAGGAGAGAACTTCCACTTTGACTATGACCTTGTCTAAAAAAGATCAAAGTCAGAGAACTCAAGAGGCTTCCATAGCCTTGGCAGCTCATGACTAGAGCCTAGGGAGATTTCTGACACCATAAACAAGAGTGTCAAATTGTTAAGTC